GTACTACTTATACTTGAGTGACTATATCCAAAATAGTAATTTTGAATATAAAAATTACTAAGTTGGAATCAATTTTGTAGAAGATAAAATATTTGAATTATACGCGCATCTTTGGTTCAGAGTAATGTCATATATGAAGCTCGATCAAAATATGATGCAAGAAATGTTAGATGTCCATGTTTGATTCATAGTGATGGAAAAATATCGGCAAAATTACATTCCCATAAATCCGATGTGACAGTGTTACCGAGGGGAATGATAAACTCATTCATGAATTAGGTCATCTAACATTCGCGGAGATTATGTCTTTTCAATTAGTTTCTTTTTTATTCTTTGATCTTCAATATAATTCAAAGCTAAATTTTTTCTCACGGTATTTTTATTTTCTCTGCATCTTCTGACAACAGACTTTTAGTACTGCCTTCGTCCCACTTAAAGATTGTCGTCCACTATTCTCCGATCAACGTAGATTTTTCTTAATCTTTTACTTTATATATCCAAATTTTATCACATTTGAATTTTCCAAATTATTGGATTATTTATTACAGCTTATTACACCTATGAATGTAATTCTCAATAATAATGGACCGGACAACTCCTATTGGGCCTGCTTTCTTATTGGATTATTTCACTTTAGAATAGCTTTAGCTTTCTTTAATATATATATATATATATATATATATATATATATATATATATATATATATATATATATATATATATATATATAGAGAGAGAGAGAGAGAGAGAGAGAGAGAGAGAGAGTTGGGATCATATACAAACCCAACTTAATTTACAAAATGCAAAATCATCCTAGCCATCCATCTAAGCCTGATTTCTGTGTGCCTATTTTAACTTAACGATCAAAACATTAATTGACCTAAGGGTGTTTTGGCCATTGCATATTTGTATAAACATGGAAATAGAATCACGATCACTACACTAGCCCTCTTTCCGTTAATACATTTGTTTCCATAACTGTGATCGACACCACATCGTGCGACTCACTTCATCTACTTCTCTCCATTCTTTAAGTTCTTTTGGTTTGTTTTATTTTTGAAGAAAAAAAAACAGTCACGGTCTATTTCTTGTAATCTCTTCACATAACTTCTTCTTTATTGTTATTTTCTTTCTTCCTTCTTCGGTTATGAAGCTCTATTTCATTTGCATCTCAGAATTATACTACATATTTCGTCTTCATCATAGAAATTTGTTGGGTATAGCTTCTTCGCCGCCATTAACAGGGGAGACCATGGATTTTGATGCCCAACCCTACTTTTGTGATTTTTTTTTCTAATTCATCTCCATCTCCATATCCGTCCCCACGATATCTTGCATGTTGGAAAATCTTTTTGTATTCTTTATGAGACTAATCAGATTTTAACGATGTGAATTACGTCTAATCTCCATCACAATGAAATTTGTTATGCAGGATGGAACAACACTTTTTCCTTTATGAGATTTTTTGTAGTCAACGTTTTGATTTTTGTCTTCATTAAATCCATTAAATTCATTAAAATTGTGTTTATGGAAAAATAAAAATGTTTAAGTGCTTAATCTACTTGAAACAATTATGATATGATGTTCTTACGTTGTACATGCATTATGCATTATGTAATGTGATCTCATGAATTTAGTATGCATGTAAGTTGAGTATATAATGCAGTTGCCATAACGATAAGATGCAGAATAAACTTCCAAAGTGCATATGAGAGGTCACAATGATAAGATACAGAACATGAATTTCTAACATGCACATGTCATCTTATTAAAATGCAGTGTATGAACTTTTAAAATGCACATGCCATGTTACTACTGAAATGCATTGTATAAACTTCAAAAATGCACATGCATAATGATAAAATGCAACGTATGAACTACTAAAATGGAGATGTCATCGGAATGAGATGTAGTATGAACTAATGTGCACTTACCATCTTACTAATGTGCAATATACGAACTTATAAAATGCACCTGTATGTCATAATGATAAAATGCAACAAATGAACTAAAAATGCAGATGTCATAACAATAAGATGCAATATGAACTATTAAAGTGCACATATCATCTTATTTAAGTGCAATATACAAACTCATAATAATAAGATGCGCGATATGAACTTCTAAAATGCATATCTCATCTTAGTAACATGTGGTGTATGAACTTCTAAAATGCATATTCCGTAATAATAAATGCAACATATGAATTACTTAAAGGCAGATGCCATAATGATAAGATGCAGTATGAACTTCTAAAGTGAGCATATCATCTTACTAAAATGCAATATATGAACATAAAATGCAGATATCATAATGATAAAACGCAACATATGACTTACTAGAATGCAACGTCGACATATTTTATCATTGTGCAATTTTAATATGTTATGGAGACGTTTTAAATTTATAATGCACATCACTTAACCTTAATATGCACATCATGTAACGTTAATATGCACATCACATGAACTAAGTATATATGCATACACTTCTACCTGTATGAGCTTCTTACAAATTTAAATTATAATCAAAATGTTATAAGAAGATCTTTAAATCGTGCAATGATGTTCGATTTTCAAAAAAAGTAAAAAAATGTAGAGGCTATGTAACTTTCCTTAATATAACTTCATATATTTGGACGGTTAAAATATTAGTGGAAAGTTAGTGGGTAGTTAGCATAAATGGTGGGATTTAGACATTATTATGTTTCCAATTTTAAATTTACGGCTTGATAAGTTTAAATTGAATTTACCCTTGTGACCTTCTCATTAATCGTTAGATGCTAATAGGATTTGGTTTATTTTATTCCATGTATCTCACCACACACACAACAGTACACTTTACGTATCACGGCTCTTTATTTCTTAATAACGAACGGATGAGATTAGTTTGTAGTTTGTAAGGGAGAACTAGTTTGTATGTGATCTCAACCCTATATATATATATACACATATAGATTTTGGTTCAAATAAGAACAACTCTTAACGTGAGAAATGAGAACTAATCCTAACCATTGATTTCAAAGTCTTTGCTTCCTTAGATCTAACATTTACGTGTGGGCATTTTAGTAATCAAATCAAGTTAGTTTATTATGGTAACTGTTTTTATTTGAGTCCGGAATAATGACTTCCGTTATTTAAGGAAGCAACATCAAATTATTAGGTAATATTTTATCTTATAATATAATAATATAGCACTAACGTTGAAACGTATTGTGAATGCACATGGCCACCGAATTACTATACAACTGTATAATTATATGTGTTCATTTTTCCTCCCAAAAATCAGTTATTTTTTCCTTCTAAGAAATAGTTTTGTGCATTAATTCACATGTTGTGTTATTGTATTTTAAGGACCACGTACATTATTTTACGTTTTTAATCTACATTTTGATTACTATTATTTCTTCCAAAATTATCTTTTTGAACATTTTTCATTGCTCAACCATATCTTTATAGTGCATCAAAATTCAAAACATTGTTTTTTAATTTTTTTATACTGTTATATACAAACTACTCCGTATTAGTTAGATGTTGGTTCATGTGCATTAGATATTCGTGATTGTGTATTAGAATTTAGAAATGAGTGTTTGTGCATTGTATACTTAACTTGTGATTCTTATGTACATACTACATGCTAGCTATTGGTTCTTGGGCGTATATACATATTATGCATTAGATATTGATTCTTGTGTATAATTACAAGCTTAAGTTGTATGGTGTATGTGTTGATGTGTTACATATTAATTCTTTTTAATGTGTGTTAGATATTTATTTTTGTGCTAATGGCACTTGTTATGGTATTCTATATACTAATTGTGCGTCGGAAACTCCTGCTTGGATGTTATATACTTGGTGTGTTATTGGACATTAGGTGCCACCCGTTCTTGGGTGTCTATTTGTATTGTGCATTAGATATTGATTCTTGTGTGTGTTATATATTAGTTTAAGTTGTGTGAAATCCTTATGTGTTAGATATTAATTAATTACTTTTTAATTGTTGTGCATGTGTCTTATAGTGTTCGTTGTGTATTAGATATTGAATTTTGTGCTTAAGATACTTGTTTTAGCTTTTCCTATGCGTATTGGGTGTTAGATACTCGTTTTTGTGTGTTAGATACTATTACATTGTGTGTCAGATACATATTCTTATGCATGCAATAACTGAAAATGTTTGTTATGGTTTATGATACACATGTTATACTAATTTTTGAAAAACTAAATTATATATGACATATTGGTGTCATTTGAAAGATAATAAAAAATTATTTAATTTGATATACTTTTTGTTAAAATTGGATTGCAATTTAAAAAGTTAAATCATTTTTTTAACTAAAGTTTTTTTGTATGATTTTACCTTTCATCTCTTCCTAAATATTTGGTAAGTGTTAGCTAGTCTTCAACGGATGCTACATTAATGAATTCAAAATTACTTTACTACCCATGTTAACCCTACGTATGGATTAGAAAGTGTCAGGGTAGTTTTTCAATGTTTGCACTCCCACCGTACATCTGTGCATCTCATCCTTTTATGACCCTTAATTTATTAAGATGTATGGTTAAGATTTGTTCTCACGTTCTCACGTTAAGCACCGTTCTCATTGGAACCACACCCTATATATATATATATATATATATATATATATATATATGTTTTGGTTCAAATAAGAACACGATCTTATGAGAGAAATGAGAACGAACGTAGACCGTTAGATTTGCTTCAAGTGAAATTCAGTGTGCATTAGATGAAACTGTAATGTGCATTAGGTGAAATTGAAATGTGCATTACAAAGGGTATAATAGAGTGACATTATGTGCAGTTGAATTGTGCATTACGTGAAATTGAAATGTGCATTAGGTTAAGCTGAAATGTGCAGAATAAAAAGTACGATGTGATATTATTTTTGTACTTTTTTTAGCACATATCAGTTTCATCTAATGCACACTTGAGTTTAACTTTTTATTTTGCACATTTCAATATCATTTAATGCACATTTCAGTTTCACCAAATGCACAATTTGGTTCCACATAATACAATCCAACGGTCCAGATTCGTTCTCATTTTTCTCCTAAGATCTGTTCTTACCGGAACCACACACTGTACTGTAACCCTAGAGGACAAATAATTTTGCATTATTCAATCTGTTTCTTCTTCATCTCTTGAATCTCTTTCGCTAAATTCTCAATCTTTGTTGCATTTGTAAATTCACATGGTATCAGATTAAGGCTTTGATCTTATTCGATCCTAATTGATTCCTGATCTTTTCTCTGATCGATTTCTATAATCGATTTAGTACCTGTTGATTTCTTGTTCGATCATCAAATACTACTAAAACCCTAGTTACAATGGTAATGACTGATTCTTCTTTGCTAAATCCAATCGAGGATCCATCATCTCCTTACTACCTTCATCCGAGTGATCATGCAGGTCTTCGCATCATCTACGAAACGCTCACTGGAGACAATTTTTGTGCTTGGAAGAAATCTGTTACTATGACCATGACGGTGAAGAACAAAATGGGATTTATTGATGGATCAATTGAAAAGATGAACACAGATAGCTCTCTTTACTTCACCTGGTATTGTATCAATGCTCTGCTCCTATCTTTACTCATTTATTCAATTTCTTCCAGTCTTCGTACTACTTTTCTTTCTTTTACCAATGCTAAGGAACTTTGGAATGAGGTTCAACTTAGGCATGGTAAAAGTGATGGTCCTAGGCAGTTTCAACACGAAAAAACCCTAGGAAATCTTTCTCAAGGCTCTCAAAATCTAATTGATTACTACAATAATTTCAAATAAATTTGGGATGAGTACTCTGACTTCACAACTATTCCTTCTTGCACCTGTGGAAAATGTACTTGCAAAATTGCTGAATCTTATCAAAAACTTCTTGAGAAAGAGTCTATTCTTAAGTTTCTTGTTGGACTGAATGAGTCTTATGTCAATCTGCGAGGTCACATACTTCTTAATACTTCTGCTTATACTTTGTCCAACCTTTACTCTATTCTTCTGCAAGAAGAATCACAGAGATCTCTTCAGTCTTCTTTTCCCTACAATACTTCTTTTTCAGAGCCTTCTGCTTCTGAAAAACTCAATAATGATGCCACTGCTTTCTTTGTTAAGAATTTCAAGAAGAAAAACTTTATTACTTGTACTCATTGTGGCTATCAAGGTCACTCTTCTGAAAAATGTTTCCAACTCATTGGATATCCAAGCAACTGGAAAGGTCCAAAAGGGCAGAGAAGTGCACCAGGTTTCAAGCCTCAGTCCAACTCTACCAGAAGCCATCAAGCTCATACGATTACAAATAACCAACTCCACCAGAAGCTAACACAGAATCTACTCCTGTTCCTGCGAATTCCACCTTTGCTGCAACTTATTTCTGTGATCCCAATCTCTATGACAAATTTTTACAATTCGTCCTAAGTCTACAATCTAAAACCTGCTTATGCTAATGTGGTCATCATTGCTCCTAATGATGGTTCTACTGCTTCTCACAATGACATCAACTTCTTAGGTAACAACTTTGCTCTTTTAGTTTCAAAATCCTCTCAATGGATCCTAGATACTGGAGAATTTGACCATATGGTCTATGATGTTTCCTTGTATACTACTCCTACCAAAAATATTTCAATAAATATACAACTACCTACTGGAATTTCATTTCTGCTACTAAAATTGGAGATATACAATTAAATTCTAATCTTACTTTACACAATGTGTTGTATGTTCCCAATTTTACTTTTAATCTTATCTCTATTTCTAGTCTAACATCACATAATAATATTTTAGTTCATTTTACTTCTAATCCTGCTATTTTGCAGGACCACCTTACTAGCAAAATGATTGGCTATGCTGATTTAAGAAATGGTCTTTATCACCATAAATCTAATCATTCCATTGAGCATACTTCTACTGTGCATTCTGCCAATACTCAGCTTACTTCATCTACTGATCTTTGACATTTTAGACTACGACATCTCCCCTTCAATAAACTTGTCTTGTTATCTGAATGTAATGTTTCTAATAATGACAAACATTCTTCTCCTTGTGATATTTGTCATTTTGCCAAACAAAAAAGATTACCTTTTCCTATCAGTACTTCTCATGCTTCTAATGCTTTTGATTTAGTTCATATGGATGTCTGGGGTCCCTATAAAGTAACTTCTTATACTGGTTTTAAGTATTTATTAACTGTTGTTGATGACTACACTAGATGCACTTGGATTTTTCAACTTAAAACCAAATCTGAAGTTAAATTTCATATGCTAAACTTCTATAAATTCATTGAAACTCAATTTCAAAAGAAAATCAAAATAATTAGAACTCATAATGGCACTGAATTCTTTTTTCCTGACTTTTATAATTCTAATGGTATTGTTCATCAATTATCTTGTGTTAAAACCCCTCAACAGGATGGTAGAGTTGAAAGAAAACATCAACATATATTACAAGTTCCTAGAGCTCTTTTATTTCAGTCCTGCTTACATATGGCCTCTTACATTCTGGTCTGACTGTATACTTACTGCAGTCCACATCATTAACAAATTACCTTCTTCTATTCTAAATAATAAATCTCCTTTTGAAATGCTCTTTAATCATCCTCCTGATTATACACATTTAAAGGTTTTTGGTTGTTTGGCTTTTGCTTCAACTATTACTTCAAATAGAACTAAATTTTATTCTAGATCTCACAAATGCATTTTTATTGGTTATCCTTTAGGTTCTAAAGGATACAAATTATATGATTTAACAACTCGCAAAACTTTCATTTCTAGAAATGTAAAATTTTATGAAATGACTTTTCCTTATAAAACTAAACTTACTGGAAATAAATCCACTTCTGATACTAATACTGACTACTTTTATGACTACTCAACAACTTTTACTGAACCTTTTCAAGCTTTAAATCATACTTCTCATAATAACTCTGAAAATACTACTCTTTCATCTTCATTTACAGATTATATGAATAATTACATAAATGATGAAGTAGGTTTATTTCAGTCAAATACTGCTGATGATTCTTTTAGCTTTTCAGAGACAGAAAATGCTCAAACTGATTTAATTCTTACTGAAAATGCCCAAACTGAAGACGATTCTCCCAGAAAGTCTACAAGACTAAGATCAATTCCTATTCATATAAGAGATTTTGAATACAAATTACCTCGGTCTATTATTCCAGGTAATTCTGAATCCACTTGTAACTTTGTTAAATATCCCATTCAAAATTATATTTCTTACAACAGATTGAGCCCTTCATATCACTGTTTCACTGCATCTCTTTCTAAACTTACTGAACCTAAAACATACAAACAAGCTATTGAATTTTCAGAATGGCAAAATGCTATGAATGCTGAAATTAAAGCACTTGAAGACAATAATACTTGGATTCTTGTTGATCTACCAGCTAATCAACACACTATTTGCTCAAAATGGGTTTTTTAAACAAAATTGAAATCTGACGGTACTCTTGAAAGATATAAATCTAGATTAGTAGCTAAAGGCTACACTCAAGAAGAAGGTCTTGACTATTTTCATACTTTTTCTCCAGTTGTCAAACTAAAACTGTTAGAATTTTATTAGTTGTGGCTTGTTCAAAAACTGGCATTTACATCAATTAGATGTAAATAATACATTTCTACATGGTGATTTAAATGAATATGTGTGTGTGTGTGTGTGTATGCAACCCCCTCCTGGTTACTTAAAAGATAATGAAACTAGAGTCTGTAAACTGCTTAAAAGCTTATATGGTTTAAAACAAGCTTCTAGACAATGGTACTTTAAACTCTCTGAATCTTCAAAATCTTTTGGATATAAATAGTCTCAAGCAGATTTTTCTCTTTTTTACTATAACTAATCAACTTTCTTTCACTGTTATTCTACTTTATGTTGATGATCTTATCCTTGCAGGAAATGACATGAATGAAATCAACTTTGTTAAATCATTTCTACATCATAAGTTTACTATTAAATATCTTGATGAGTTAAAATACATTTTAGGCATAGAAATTGCCAGATCTAGCACTGGTATTGTTTTAAATCAAAGAAAATATACTCTTGATATGCTTTCTGATTTTGGTTATCTTGCTGCCAAACCTTTTTCAACTCCTATGTATTCAAAACATAAACGTTCAAAAACTGCTGGAACTCCTTTGACTGATCCAAAATCATATAGATCTTTATTTGGCAGATTATTATATCTCACTATAACCAGACCTGACACTTCTTTTTTTGTTCAAACTCTTAGTCAATCTTTATCTTGTCCTACTGATATTCATATGACTGCTGCACACAGAGTACTTAGATACCTAAAAGCCTCTCCAGGTAAGGGCCTATTTTATCCTTCTAATTCATCTTTTAATCTTAAAGCTTATACTGATTCTGATTGGGGATCCTGTATTGATACTAGGAGAAGCATTTCTGGTTATTGTTTTTACCTAGGTGATTCACTGATTTCTTGGAGATCTAAGAAACAAGCAGTTGTCAGTAGATCTTCTACTGAAGCTGAATACAGAGCAGCTGCCAATGCAGTCTGCGAGGCACAATGGCTTTTCTATATTCTTAAAGATTTACATATTTGTGTACACTTACCTATTACTCTCTATACTGATAACAAATCCACCTATTATCTTGCACAAAATCCTATTCAACATCAAAGCACCAAACACATAGAGTTAGACTGTCACTTAATTCGAGAAAAAATTAATACTGGCCTTATAAATCTTGTTCATATTTCTAATACTTGTCAACTTGCATATATATACACAAAACCTCTTGGAAATCCTTTATTCAATCAGTTTGCAGACAAGATGAACATGTTGGACATCCATGCTCATCTTGAGGGGGCGTCTCAAGAATAATGGACCGGACAACTCCATTCTTTCAAACTTGAAGAAATTACTCATATTTAGGGAATAAAAACATAAAAAGTCAAAGCGGAAGAGGACCTAGCCGTGGCTAGGGTTTAGGTTGGGCGTTTTCATTACGCTACTTTTCTAGTTTTCACGGCGGATCTTCGGCGTTTTAGCAGACGGACCGTGAGCAGGGGAGCACTCGTCAACAGTGCTGGGAGAACGATCTTCGGCGTATTCGTGCGACGATTTCACTTGTCAACAAATTCGGTTCTTGCAAGCCGGAGTTTAGCCATGGCGAACGACTGGGGGATGAGGTCGGAGTTTAGCGATGGCACTTCTGCTGGGGTTGAAGCTCTGGCAAATATCTACGGGCAGTTGGACCTGGAAGAAGAGGAAGAGGTCCTTGTGGTTGAACCTATGGCGCAGAATTCATCGAAGCACAATTTGACCATGGTGGGGACTATTACATCAGAAAAGTCGGTACGTTTTTCTCAGTTTAGAGATATTATGGTGTCTGTGTGGAAACCTGAAAATTGTGTTACTGTAACTGAAATTGGTCCTAGACGGTATGTGTTCCAGTTCTATAATGAGGAGGATGTCAGTAGGGTTGATGAGGAGGGACCATGGCTCTTTGATCAGAACCTAATTGTTATGAGTAGACTTAAAGAGGGAGATATTCCCTTGTCTGTCCCACCGAATAAAGCTGATTTTTGGGTTCAAGTTCATGATATTCCAGTTGGATATTTTATTGTTGAGAATGCAGAACGAATTGGGAACTTTTTGGGAACTTTTATAAAAGTTGATGACAATAATTTCTCTGAGAATTGTGAATCATTTATGAGAGTTCGTGTTTGTATTGATCTGGGGAAACCTTTGAAAAGAAAATTGGTTCTGCAAAAAGAGGAAGGAGTTACTTTCCGTGTCCGATTTTGCTACGAGAAACTGCCTAGTTTCTGTTTTTTGTGTGGAATAATAGGGCATGCTGAAAGTCATTGTCCGTGTAAACGGAGGGGTTATGAAGTCACTGGTGAGAGGCCATTCGGGCCTTGGCTTAGAGCTACAAAAGGGGCAAAGCAATGGAAGGATAACAAATGGCTCGTTCCAGCGGGGAAAGGAATCAACTATGGTTGTAAGGCAACCGAAGGAAATAGAGAGGAGGGCATGCGATCAGGTATCAAGGAAGGCAAGCTCTCACTACATAGCAGGGGACAGATTGAGCAGAAACGAAGGCGGGTGGAGGACTCAACAGATCACCAGACCGGGGAAGAGATGGAGATTGCCCATACCGGGGGGGAAACGAGGAGGAGGCGAGCTACAAATGTGTAGCTCGCCAGGCACAGCAGTGAGAGTCACCGATCCGCAGCTTTGGGAATTTAATAAGGTTGAAAGCCATGTAGACTTTATTTAATTTTACTGTTTTTCCTTGTTTTTCGTTCACGTTGCTATTCTCGTTGTCTTGAACTCTAGCTGTAGGCTGGTTTTTTATTTTTCTTGCTTGGTTAGGGATATTAAGATTGGTGGAAGCGATAAGGCTAGTTTGGCCGTTCAAAGCTTCGAAACGCTCACATGGTTCGCCAATAGTCTCGCTCCTTCCGGGGTGGTCTATTCTAAGTCTAACTAGAGAGTGGGAGGGCCTTTGGGCTATGCGGAGCCTCACGAGGAGGTTTGGCGTTGTGAGGGGGGAGGTATTTCTAAAGTTTTGATTGAGGAGGTTTGTCTTTGTAAGGGGGAAAGTACGTTGAGAAGTTTGATTAATATAATATAATCAGTTTCCTTTCCAAAAAAACATAAAAAGTCATATTTTAGAATTTCAAAACATTATTACTCATATTCAGGGCAAATTCTATTAACCATTCTCCCCTCAATAGATTAGAATGATGGAATCTAATTTAAAATTTCCATCCTGATTTTATAAATGGGTCAACATAATGTCATATATTGTCATAACTAACGACTCATAAATACGAGGTAATTTAGACAAGGTTTCCCAAATGATGGTGTCGTGGTTTGCACATTTGACGAAAGACAAATTGATATGTTAAAAATAAAATGCACCTGGCAGTAAAGGACTCATGCATTGGAGTATTGCACAAAAAACGAATAATGATTTTATTCAATTTCTATTAGGATTTTACTTGTGGAAGTGATCATGAATATAAATTTAATTAAGTAACATAAATAGACATTATTTGCAATTGATTATGCTTCTACTCCTTTTTTTAAAACCAAAGGTAGAACTAGAATAAATTTTCAGAAGCTGGTCTCTTCCAACTTCTAAAAATTTGCTTCTCCGAGTATTTTGTAGCACTCGGAAGTATTTCTACACTTTCATCCAAACACTGCAATATCTTTGTTTGCTCCTTGAAGGTGTAGAAGCAGTTTTAAGAATCAGATTCAAACAACCAAACTAAGTGAGTACAACATATTCACTTTGTCGTAAAAATAATTCACTAAACCATTCATGCCAATTTTAATAATTCACTTTGTTTTAAGAATAGCTTTAGCTTTTAGCCCTTTAAAATGATCATGTACAGAAACTTCAACCAATTATAAAATAAAAAAATTGTAGGAATGAGAGTAATGATGATACTGAGTAACTTTGAAAATTTAAAACTAAAATATTACTAATAAACAAGTAAAGGAAAAAAATGTGACTTAATAATTTTTAGTGCCTATAATTATGTTAAAAAAAGAAGTGAATTATTTTTACGACAAAGTGACTAAGTGAGTACAACCAATGGTCAAAATGTACCCGATAGTAATAGAGAAAATGGAAACTAATAATCCAACTTTTTAGCGGTTTTCTTACAATAGTCCCAACCTTTTTGTTATTCATGAATGATCCAACATTTGCACCTCATCTTCATTCACTGATCCCTGACCGGTTAATGACCCGATATTCCAAGTTATTTTCTTATCTTTTCAAAATATTATCTTCGTGAAAGGTGATATTTATGGTATAATGATTTGTAAAGATAAGAAAATAACTTGGAATAACAGGCCATCAACCGGTCAGAGATCAGTGAATGAAGATAAGGTGCAAAGGTTGGATTATTCATGAATAACGAAAAGGTGTGACTATTTTAAGAAGACCGCTAAAAGGTTGTATTATTAATTTTCATTTTCCCTTTATCAAAATATGGGTCCGAATCTGAGTTTGAATAAATTGAATTACATGTGGACCCACATTCATTAAAAATGTGAAATATATATATATATATAGCTTGTTTGGTAACATTAAAATTGGTGAAATTTTGGTTTAGCGGATGAATTACAAAAAAATGGATATATTTCATTAATAAAATAAAGAAAAACTTATACTCTGAATGAAAATAACTAGCTAAAATGATCATGTTCAGAAACTTCAACCAATTAGTCAAAGAAGTTAATCTAACATTATTTATTTCAATTATCACATTCCGCACGAGAAATAAAAATACGTAGTATGTACTTTGTAAGAATTGACTCAAAAGGAGGTCGCAGGTTCAAGTCGCATCCCAACCGAGGATGTTAATATTAACAAAAGCAGATAATATAATAGATTACAAGAATGTTCCACCAAAAAAGAATTGACTCAAAAGACCAACAAATTAAAAATGGGTGTTACCAAACCGCTCACAAATTTATACTCCATCTGTCCCGCAAAGATGTTCCCGCTTTCTTTTTTTAGCAGTCCCAAAAAGAAGTTTCTTTTTCTCTAAATGGAATGTTATCCTATATCAAAACATTCTCAAACATTGCAAAACACTGTCAAATAATGTCAAACAGTGTCGAAACAGTGTCAAATCAGTAAAATTTACCCCCTGATAAGTCTATTTCCTTAATATGTGTAATCAAACCGGGAACATCTTTGCGGGATAAAAGAAGTATTACATCGCCTGCGTCACATCACCTTAATTAGTCATCGCACATAATCCGAACCAAACACACCGCAGTGCTCGTAATTATATAGGCGGTAGTACCGCGGTACTTTAATTTTAGCCATCGACGTATTAGATTTTGATTGGCAGTGAAAAAGAGATTCATAATTTCACAAATATCATTTAAAATTATTACCTTATCTTTTGTAACAATATACTTCGTATATTCATCATTAACATATACACATACGCCCATACGGAGTATAAAAGGAATAAAGTACGTAATAATTTGCGAGATATTAAGGTCGGTAAACTTTATAGTAACAGTGAAGGATAGCGCAGAGAAACAGCAAATTTTATTGTTTTTTTTTGGGACATTCTTGGTGTACACAAGTTGTACACAAAATGTATACATTGCCTGTGTACACAGACAATTTGACATCAAGTGCTACCCTTTTTAAACGAATTGCTGTGTACACAAACAAGTAAGAGGATTTTGTGTACAATTTACGTTAAGCATTTCCCTTTTCTTGTCTGTTGCCAATAGTCCGCCGACTTTATGTACAAAAAAGTAAGAAGAAACGGTTTGAAATGCGGCAGCTGCAAAGCCTGTAAAACATACCATTCCGCTAATCCATCCCACTAGCCCATAGCCCATAGTAATATACCTACCTCTCGCCCGAAGTCATCTTCTTAACAATTTAAAAAGCGAGAATTATGTGACGGAGAATTAAATAAAAGAAAAAAAATGTGAATAAATGTGTATATGGTGTTCCAAACTACAATTTCTTAATAAAAAAGAAAAAGATTATTTGAGACGGATTAAAAATGAAAGTTGAAATATAATTGAGTAATACGTCCTTCAAAAGTCTCTAAATAAACATCTCGCCTTCCTTTTTTATTGAATTATTGGTCCCTTAAAATGTCTCCTTTTCTTATTTAGTATGAGTACTCCGTAAACATAACAGTGCAAAGTTATGTCAAACAGTATCAACATAGTGTCAAACAGCGTCATTTTTTTAAATTTTGTAATTCAAATTGGTACTTGGAAATAGGTACGAGGGAGTAATAATAAATAATAATGCACGCGCTAATACCAATTACCATACTCTAAGAAGTTAATGGTGTTTTCTTTTGGAATGTTTTCAATCCTATACCAGATCAGACCAGACCAGACTTAAACGGACCAGACCAAGCCAAATAAAACTTGGACAATTATAATATACATAGAGACCAGATATTTACCATACCAATTCAAACAAGACCAGATCAGACTTATTTAGACCAGACCAGACGAGTAAATTACAGTCCAAAAGAAAACATCCTAGCTATACCGTAGAAAGCGCGAGTATTATTGTAGAAATAGTCACGTGGTGTAGAGAGGATTCCAATTAGACTTTTTGAATAACGATTGTTTGAAATGACCTATGTTTGCTGACTTTAAATGGGCTCCTCGGTTAACCCGGGACGGAGTTAGGAATATCCTATGGTGCATCGATACTTCCCTTGATGTCGTTTCCGCGTATCCGATACGTATCAAATACCGATAATCACTTATACGAGTGATGTATGTATTGGGTCCGTATCCATAATTTAATAAAAGTATTGGTCATATTTTTAAAAATATGGATATTTCCGATACCTATATCTGTGAATTGATACATGTATCTGACTTGGTAACCCTGATTTCATACATGAACTGACGAAAATTTAGTAGTCGCCCAAGCGTACATAAAATCTGGAACATAGAAAATTTTGGAATGCTATAATTTGCCAATTTGTCACTTGATGAGTACTCGTATTAGTAAAGCTTGAATTTAAATCGAAATATTAGTATTTTAGTTCTTCTAGTCTAATCTTTGAAATTTTATTATAATTGTTAGTTTTTGGTACTATTATAATTTTACGTACGAACCTCTGAAATATATATATATATATATATATATATATATGCAAATTATACCCTATATTATTATGATTATTATTATTATTATTAGTAGTATTATATTATTATTATTATTATTATTATTATTATTATTATTATTATTATTATTATTATTATTATTATTATTATTATTATTATTATTATTATTATTATTATTATTATTATCATTATTATTAAATATACCCTCGTACCCGTATCCTATAATTCTTGAAGTTGTTGTATCGTTGTACCCATATTCACGTATTGACATATCCGTGCAAGGGGGTTTCCATTAGAGTAAAAACGTTTTTTCAAATAGTATCCATGACATTTTGTGTGTGCAAGAAACCATCATTTTATTAATAAGAAGAATCTACTAACAAGCAAATTGTAATACAATTTGGCGGAACTCCTTGGCATGATTCACAATTAGACTTAGAAACGACTCCCTTCGCTAATAAATGAACACACCGGTTCGCTGGTCGTGGCACAAACTGGACATCTACAGTAGCGAAACTTGCAGCAGTATGTCTAATATCATCATAAATATGGTCGTTATAAGACTTTCTTGATGAGAAACTGATATCATGAACAACTTGTTTAGCATCGGCTTTATAACAATGTTTTGCCATCCATGTTGACGTCATGACGTGCCCATAACACACAAAACATGTAATATAGTTTTCCCTTGTGTAATGCACACGGGGCACTCCGGCGTTAACGGGACTTTTTGCTTAAGCAAATTCTCCTTTGTAAGGAGACAATCCGTACTAGCTTGCCAAAAAACCACCTTTACTTTGGGACTTTGGGAGGAGTTATGAACTTCCACATTTGTGTCCAACTTACCGACCCTTAGCTAGAAAAATTTTCTGCTAGCCACTGATAGCAGCTCTTAACAGACTAAATTCCTCTAGAATCCAAACACCACATTCTATCATCCGGACG